AGGGATGTGGGGCTACGGAAGGAGGTGGCCGGTGGGTGGGTGGAGTCATGGTGGATTTCGGCCAAGGGGAGGGAGGAGAAAGGGAGGGGTTGGTGTAGGCCGATGGTGTGGAGGTGATGGGGTGAGAGGATCGACGCTTTGGTGGAAGGCCTTGAGGAGGTGGCATTTTAGGGAAATAAGGAAAAACAAAACAAAGAAAAAAAGATAGAACCGCGAGCCTTAGACTCTTCCGAAGACTGACGGGTGGTACGATGCCCTTCACCAAGGGACTTCAAGCTACAAGCCCGGACCTACCCATCCTGCGGCTAGTGGAAACTACGATTCCCTCCAGAGGGATTCTCACTAACGTTCTCCCAAAGAACAAGAGTGCAGAAACATTTTTTTTTAATTAATAATCCATTATACCTAATACAAGAGACGGGGCCTCTATATATAGGCCTCAAAAGAAACTAAAAGATAAATTTCTCCCGTGGGCTTACATAAGACAAGGCTCTTAAATGAAAGGGTAAAAAGGGAAAATTGTAAAATTAAATCAAGATACAATTAATAAACTAAAATAAAACAGAGTGATCTCGGTCGTCGATCTTCAACTCTTCCCTTTGAATATCGTCCATTGTCGGATGTATGCATCAAAAGGTTAATAATAAAATACTGGAGTTTCTGAACTGCTTTCGGGTACTTTACGAACAACGGAACAACAGTAGGAGTTTGTTGATATTACGGGACAACAGCTTGAACCTTCTAGACAGCACTTTCCACGTCCAAAAATCTAGACAACAACTGTGTAGGCTTCCGATCTTCAATGGGGTGGTTCTAGATCGAGAAGAACCAAGTAATTGACATAGGCAGTATTGTTGGAGGGAAACTAAAGTGAAAGAACAAAGAGGAAGGAGAAATAGAGAGAGAGGAGAGGCCGGCGACTAAAGAGAAAGATAAGGGATTAATTTCCCATAATTTGAAGTTTTAAATTCAGATTAGATTGGGAGGGATTAGGGGGTTTTGAATTTTGAATTTCAAGTAGGGAAGAAAAGGAAAATAATTCCTAAATGAGATATTTGATTGGAGTATTTAGGAGGGGAGTTAATGTGGGGGGAGAGAGAGAGATACAGGGAGAGGGGTCAACGGCTTGGTGAGGTGGATTGAGGTTTACGGAAGGTGTTTTAATGCTTGCTCACTTAAAGCCCCCAAATTAAGGGAAATGATTTAAATCCCATCCAATTCAAAATTGATTTGGGCTTGATTTGAGAAACTTTCCTAAAATAGAGTTCTATTTTAGAAAATATTTCAAAATTCAAAATTGATTGAATAATTGAAATCAAAGCTTTCAAAATGTGGTTGTGTAGGGAAATGAAAGTAATGATGAGAGGTTTGAATTTTGGTGGCAAGAGGATTGGGATTGGGTGAAACCAGAGGCTAGGGTTAGGGTTTGTGAGTGGTGGTTAGGTGGAGGGGAGGACTCAAGGAGCCGGCGGTTTGGGATAGAGGAAGGGTGGTTGGCTAAGATTGTAGAGGTGGTGGGGGGTTTTGGCTGAGGGGTGGGGAATGGTGTAATGTCCGGTGGTTAATGGAGGATTTGGTGGGGAGGCTGGCGGCTTAAGGGAGGAGGAAGGGATGAAAGAAGGAGAAGGTAACCACAAGCCTGGATGTTTCCCGCGGCTGGTTGATGATCCGATTCCCCCACCTATGGATTTCTCTCCAAAGCTCTCAAGATCTCTCAAAATATAGAAGTGCCGAAATTTTCATAATATTATTCATTAGCCTCTAAGGAGAAGGTGGTGGCCTTTAAATAGCCTCATTCCAATGAAAGAAAAACAAAAGACCAACTTGCCCCTAGGGGCTTACACATGACTAGGCCCTCAAATGAGGGTATAAATGAAAAATACAATAATAACTCATAACACAAAATAAACTAATACAAATAATTCTAATACAATGAAGATCAAAAGTAAAGTGATGCAATCGTGGCCGTAGATCGACGACCATGCCTCTGGTAGACCCTCTAAGGTTTGATGTCCTCACCATCTTCATTCTTTTATGCTCCATCAAATTTATTTCTTAGTTTGCACTTTTCTCTTGCATTGCTAGTTGTAGATCTTCACATTGATTCATCTTTCAAAATTTTATTATTTCCTCTACCAAACCTTAGGTATAGATCCTACTAGTCTTGTAAGGGACTCACATAATAAATAATACCATTGAGAAAGAAAATATCTTTCTTTTCCATAAGTATCTTGGCCGCAACTTGAAGATGGTTTACTCTTGTAGAAAGTTATGAAATATTTAACCCTAACTTGAAGATGGATAGGCTTTAGCTAGGTTTTGGACTCTTGGTTCTCTTTACCATCTTCTTCAATGCAACTCGAGCATGTTAAATTCTTTAGACCTTTTACATTCATTGTGTCCTTGAAAAAAATAATGATATATGTTGGGATTTTGAAGAAAATTGCGTAGAAACTATGAAGACTAGCTTCCCTGCAATTTTTAATTTTGCCTTATAGTAGTATTGCTAAATTCTTTTTGAGAGGATTAGGAGAGAGTTGCTAGGAGGGTAAGGAGAGAAGGTGCTAATTTATGATAATAGCGAGGAGCAGGAGATAGAGTGGTATCAGGAAGAGGAGAGTGGAGGGGTCCATGGCAGGATTTAGAGAGCAGTAGAAAATCATTTGATATTCAAATTAATATTAGTTCACATAAGAGTATATAACCGCTTTATAGAGTAGGCTCTGTGAATATAAATATCCAATAATGATAATGGAAACTCCACAATATCCAAATATGAATTAATAATTCAATTAGTGAATAATGGTTCTGCAATGCTAGGTTTATTTTCATCAGCCCCATGCCATGTCTTCAAATTATTCATTCAATTAAAATTTTCCTCAGTAGAGGGGGCTTATGGTCTTCGACTTCCTTGAATGGACCAAAATCAAATTAAAGTGGATTTAAAGTTTGTATGATGATGGGTTCATCTTTTAGCCAATTGAAGGGGATCATCAAATTTTGATAACAATAGAATGGAGCAAGTTTTGGTGTCATGGCAATAGAAGCAAGCTTTTGTAGCATAGGAATAGGTGTAAGTTTTGGTGGCATATTAATTAGAGGAGGTTTAGGTTGGAGTTTGTGGAGCTTTTGGGATTTTGTAGGCTGTGGCTTAACCTCTAGAAAGTAGGGATAAACATTGAATGCTGGAGATCTAATGCTATATTGAACATTATAGTATGAGCTTGATGAATAAATATGGTTTTATTGAGTTTGATATTATGATTTCACTTGTTTAAACCCATTAAAACAGTCCTTTTTTTGGTTAAATTTTCGAATTATGATTGCTTGCTTTGGTCCATCTCCCTTTTTGTACGTTTCTAATAAGATGTTGCCATCGTAATAGAAGTTATTTGGAGGCATGGGTTCTTAGTTGAGAGGTAATGGGGCTCATTTAGGGACCAAGAGGTGCAGTGGTGGCTCACTTTGGAAAGAGATATAAGAAATATGTGGGTATAGGTTTAGGAAAGATCCATTTCTTTGGTTTAGAAAAGATTTAAGAGGGAAAGTAATAAGACAATTTGATTTTGCTACATGGAAAAGGATTACTTTTTGTGGTCAAGGAAGACTAACAAACATCTGATTGTGTTGCATGAAATATTGCAACCCATTGCAATGAAGATTATTTATGAATCTTGGAAAGATTCGAGATTAAGTTTTGGAAAGAAGACATGTAGAATCTTTGAAAAAAATTCTAGCGAGAATCATTCCTATGGGAGTGGAAATGCGCCTGGATTTGACGGTTTGGGAGGGGCTTGGATGTGGTGCATTAGTAGCATAGTAGTTACATTAACAGAAAAAATAGTTTAAATGATGAGGAATTTCAGCAGTTATTCTACAAAAAAATTTATTATGTTTTTTCAGTTCATGTAGGTTGGCTTTTTAGATGGAGAAACACAGTAAGTTTTTAGCAGTAAAAAATATAGGCTCGACAAAATGCATGCAGTTTTCAACAGAAGAATAGTGCCAAACTTATGAAACTATATTCGAGGAACATGAAGGAAAGAAAACCTAATGAGGGTGTAGTAGAATCATGGAACCTCACTGTGACAAGATGTAGAAACACATTCTTGAGTGCAGGAATTGCTATTATATTGTCTTATGGTGCTTGTAGCGGAGTCTTGAATTATTGTGGCTAAGAGTATTAGGAAAGGGTTGAGAGGGTTATATGGAGATTAGGCTATTCTCCTGTAGGCTGCTATGGAGAGAAACATATGGTTTTCAGCCGTAATTTGTATAGCATTGGATAGAGTGAAACAATTGTTTTTTCAGTAGATTAACATAAACGAATGTCATTTTTATTTGCATTTTGGCTTAAGGTAAGTATAAAATGAGTAAGGGATATGTTACGAAAAAAAAAAAAGAATTAGCACTACAAGAAGAAGAATTAGCAAGAAATATATTTGTTTTATGTTATCCAGGAAACTTATCTGGTTCATATATAGATATGTTTATCTTTGCATATTATTCTATCCCTTGAACAGATGATTTTTCATGGACCGCTCTTTATAGAAATTGAGTTTATAATGAGATTTATTAGAGTCTATTTAATTAAATTATAATGTGAATTAACAAGTTTATCTAATTTTCTATTATCCTCAAACTGACTGTTTGAAATCATTAGGCTTATTGACCATAAAATACACATTTTAATTCAACCAGTACTTGCAGTTTTTTAGTCTTTCGTATTAACTAATTGAATTATATTTTAGTAACTTTATATTAAAAGTTTTAATTTTTCTTGTTTGTATTACCTGGAGTCTTTTGATTGTATTTGTATTCCTTTATGCATGGTGCTAGTTTTCTCTCAACTTGTTCTTTTCTCATGCGGTTAAAAAAATTTGTTATTTCCCCTTAACAATTCTGATTATAGCTCTTTATTTTCATTGGACAATTCTGATTACTAATATTTGGAATGAAAAATATTTCTTCAATGCAAATAATTTTTTACTAAATAACAGGAACAAGCACAAATGGCATCAACTGGTCAGCTTGTAGGTTCAAACCTCTCCAACATAGCTGCAATGGAGCAGACTCGTATGCTTGCACATACATTAGCTCAAAATAATGACCCAAAGTTTCAGGTATATAGTAGCTAGCTCTGATACCCTTAGATTTTTATTTTGTGGATGTTGAAGTAGCTTCTAGATGGTTACATAGTCATTTTAAATTTGTATAATTATTCCTGGCTTAAAAAATGCTTATTTTGACTAAAGTGTCATTCATAGTCAAATATATTATGTAGATAATTTTATTATATCTATTTCAATGGGATATTTAGTACATCCATTTCAATGAGGATATAATCAACACTACAAGTTAATCTAGAGCAAGGAAAACTTTCATCTCCTATGGCATAGTAGGGGATTGCATTACTTACTAGGGAATAACATATAAAATAATCGAGTTTCACTTTTTGGTAAAAATACCAATGAAATACTAAAGTAACTCTTCAATTATTTACTTGTTAGGACTAGTTGGGGTCTCTAAACATCATTGCACATTGAAATTTTTGTTCTCTTTGGATATAACATCTATTTGATGATTAATATATGACATAATGCAAATGCTTGGTGAGTATAATGGAACACATTTTTGGATCACACAATTTGTAAGTACAACATTAAGGATCACTCAACCTAGAATGAGACATGATCTACTAATTTTTGTACTCCTATATACAGTTGAAGTACTAATGGAGTGTTATTTTTACTCTGTTGTGATTAAAATCTTATAACAATATGGCGACCAAGTTCCAACATGATAGTGGATTGCCCCCTCAAAAGGCATTTGGTTATTTTACACTTGAACCAACTACCACATTATTGTTAGCATTGAAGAGGTCTTTGATATTTTCCCTCATCATCTTGCATGAAGAAGCATACTCAAATGTAAATTGATAACTATGTATAGTAGTTTTTTATCATCCATGACATCAAGTATACCAGGCTTACAACTTTGAAATACCACCTTTGAAGGAATTAGGATTTAGGCATCATGCAAACGATATTGTCTAACTCCCACATATGGTAAATGAGTCTTATTTAGAGTTTGAAATAAATGCTAGGCACACTATAAACTTTAAAGTAACAAAGTTTGTGTCTTATAGAAGTTAAATAGCTGTGGGCTCCGAAAATTCGGCCCCGGCCTCCGCTCGCTTTTCTTTTTCGGCGAGGGAGTTTTAACGAACTAAGTCCGAGGTAAATTTTGGAAGGCAGATGGGTTTGTAGATAAGACACTACCCAGAGATTTCGTCCTCATTTTTGCGAGGACTTTATAATATGAGTTCTGGTTTCCTATAGGCGCAAGCCCCTATAGTTAATTACCCCTCTCGATCATGAGAGAGCTTTATGATCTAAGTTCTGGTTTCCTATAGGCGCAAGCCCCTCTAGTTAATTATCCCTCCCGATCACGAGAGAGAACTTTCGATTAAGGCTAGTCATCGATCAGATACGAATAGAATACGTGGTATCTGGCATATAGTAGCAGCAATGGGCATAGGGATTAGAGAATTTGAAGGGTTTGGATGATTTGATTTTTAAAATAGAAATTTTCACCATCTTGCACTTAAAGTGGATGGTGGGGGAATGGATGATGGACCTGATCAAGATCCCATGATTTCGTCGTCATGGGCCATCGTGCTCCCTGATCTACTTAGTCAGAGAAGGTAGTCGACCCAACCTGACAGAAGGATCCTTGTCGGAAGTCATGGGTTGCTTCATCCAAGGGGGCCTTGTAGACCTGGGGGGAATGTTTGTCTAAGAGAACAAATTTGAATTCACCTTAGCTGACAGAGGGATTTGTGCCCTATCGATCATATCCTGTTGATTCATATCTCAAAGATTTAATGCCAATAAGGAACGTATTGGCGCTGATTATAACCGATATTTCGTGGTGCCATTTGGCGGTAAAATCACTCAGTTCAGAAGGCCCTGGGTCATAACCGTTTATCCTGCGGTGCCATTTGGCGGCAAAACTGCCGGTTAGAGGACACGTACTACGTCTTTATTGGCAGGAGATTGTTTGAGAATGGATCCTAGTGATATTTTCGACTAAGCATTTGGCTCTTTATGAGCTGAAGTAAATATTTTTCCACCTCAGCAAATTGTTGCGAAGGGTGGATGGATTTTGCTTTAAGTGTTGATGGATTTATTTCAATTTTAAATATTTTTGGATTTTGATGATTTTGGGATTTTGAGAATTTTCTTGGATTTTTGTGGAATTTGGGATAGCATTTGAAAATATTTAGAATGGACCCCTCCGGTTGAGATTTACATTCAACACGAACATCATCGGGGTGTTTGGGGTCATTTCCATTTGATTGAACATTGTCGACCCTATCAACTTATCGATAAGGGATCGGGTTTCATAGGCTTTATGCCCTTGTTTGTGAATTTTCTTTGTTAAAGGCCTTGAAGGCCTAATATGAATGTATAAGATAAATATTCTGATCGATATCATGACTGCATATTTATCTTATGGCTAAAATCTTGTCTACTCCTATTTACCTGCTTAGGATGATCTGATTTTGTAGGCTTCGTGCCTTTGTTAGTGAATTCTTATTGTTATAGGCCTTGACGACCTAATATGAATGCAATAAAACAAATATATCAGCCGTCGCAACCGTATACTTGTTTGTTGGTTCGAACCCTGTCGACTTCTATTGACCCGTATAGAAGGATCGGGTTCGAACTTGAATTCACTTATCGACCCGTGCAGCATCCCTAAATATCACGTGTGTACCAATAACACGCTCGCCTGGGCCCATGTGGGTTATGATTGTATTTACCCATTTAGTGTACCTATGTGTATACAATTTATTGTGCACGTGCAGGGGTATTTTGAAATATTTTAGTTGTGCAAGTAATTGCCCTTTGAATGCACAACATGTCATTTGAGAGCTTATACATGCCTTCTGTCCGCTAATACGAGTGTTGCAGATCCGGTGGCGGGGCGTTGTAGATTGTAGATGTCTTCTATCTGCTTGTATAAGTGTTACAGATCCGGTGGCGTTATTATCAGGACGTCATGAGGCATCTCATCATCTTGATGTTGACTCTCCTTTTTCTCATTCAACAGGGGGAGTCTTTTTGAAGTTTGTAACTGTAGCTTTGTAAAGGACTCTTTCAAGCTCTTTAGTGTAGTAGACTTGTTATCTTTGATATTTGTGGATGTTAGAATTGTTTTCTTCTTAAATATAGGTCCAACCAGAAACTTTGGATCACTAAGAAGTTCAGTTCGAATTTGCTCAAACATCTCTTCCATTCCACCAGGAGGTGTTCTTTTTCGTATGTTGAGTTGCCCTTGTACCCGACATACTTGAAGATCTTAATCACTGTTGTCGTAGGTGATACTTGTACTTGTGTCCACAGTGGTTCGTTGTACCTACGATATATCCATTGTTGTTATCCACAAGTATTCATTTGCAGGGAATCGTTGTATCCACTACGACCTCCTATAAGTGTTCATAGAATAGTCATTGTTACCTACATCATATCCACCTTTCACCAATCTCAGGTGGGTTTGATGTATTTTCACTTGTTTGTGGGGACGGATCTTTGATTGTGCTACATATGGGTAGTACTCGTGCGCAATAATTAATTGTAATTAAAAGAAATATTAATTATAATTAATTAAAATTAATTTTAATTAATTATTAATTAATTATAATAAATATAATTAATCAAAATGATTAGAATTAAAACTAATTATAATTAATTAATATTAACTCTAATTAAACTTAATCAAATCATTAATTCTCTCTCTCCCTCTACCTCTCTAGTTCAGCACATTACAGGATTTGGCCGCAGAAGTATACGATAGGGAGAAGGTTACCTTCTCAGCACGCGAGCTCCCGTTCTACCTTGGATCAAAATACGCAACTTCCGATCCCTCAAGAAGAGAAAGTCATCCAGGACGAAGTCGAACGACGACGGAGGAGTCCCAGAGATTAGCAGATTTACAGGATTTGGTCTGGAAAGCGCTTGACAGGGAGAAAGTTACCTTCACGGTCGGTGGCTCCCGTTTGCTGCTTCCGCTCAAAGTGTCGTAACGTCTGATTCGACGAGAAGGGGACAGCGTCGGAGGAGCGAAGTCGCATGGCTATGAGGGAGCCCGCGATCGAGAGAACGGGTCCTGTTCTTATTCCGATCAAAGTGTCGCAGCTTCCAGTCCGACAGCAAGGGATTGTGGTCGAGGGGGAAACCAAAGCTGCACGTGACAGGGAGAAGGCTATCTTCACGCGAGCGAGCTCCGATGTTGCTTCCGATCAAATGTTGTACCTTCCGATCTTACAGGAAATGGGAGTCGTAGAAGGAGCGAAGTCGATCTGCCAGGAAGGAGGTCTCTCTCTCTCTCTCTCTCTCTCTCTCTCTCTCTCTCTCTCTCTCTCTCTCTCCCCGTATCGAAGGAACTGAGTGACGTCGAGCTCTTTGCATGAGGGAGGAACGAGACCAATGACCGAACTCTTTAATTCTTCGGTCTTTTAATGGAGAAATTATTAGGTACGGAGTGCGGACGGGAGAACCGTCCGGACACTAGTATAAAACCGCGTTCGGTACCGTTCGGTACCACTGGGTACCACTGGGTACCGCTTGGTACCCTGTGTCTGTGCGGATGGTTCTCTCCCCGTCCGCACTCCGCACCTAATACAATTTCCTTTTAATGACGGTAGGAGAGATCGTGGGTGATGGGACGTCGACGTGCGGGCTTAGTCCGGAAATGGGATCTGCGCGGCTCAAAATCTGGCGCCGGACAGGTACGTTAACATTTTTTTTTTTGGCTTAGGTATGTAGGTCAACATTATTTTAATATATAAATGTACAACATTCCTAGTCATATGTGTACATTCATTAATACTCTATTTTAATGCGCGTGCTTGGGAAATGCATTTGGAATCACACCATTGATGAAATACCAACTATCATATGCACCTCCTATATGCACTTTAATTAAGTGTTATTCTGTGCATTATGGTGAGAATAATTTTTGCTGATAGTTTAGCTGACCAACTCACTATAATCGTTGGATTATCCCCTCAAAAAATTATTTGGCAATTGTATAATGATATAAGCTTGACAGTGGC